GGGAGGGGAGGCCTCCGAGCAAAGCGGCTCCCGAGTCCCGGGGAGCTGCCCCTGCCCTGCGGCCGCCCGCCTGAGCGCTCCTAAAAAGCGGATTTTTAAACCCGAGCTTGGGTGCCTTGAGCTTCCCTCTCCATCGGCCCCTTCCCGCCTGCTGCTCCCGCAGAACAGGCCGGGGCTTCCACGCACCCGCGGTCTGGGTAAGGTCAGGCTGCGTTTTGGGGCTGCTGTTTTGAAATAATAAGTATTTTTGTTGTTGTTTTCCGGCCTTAGCCAAATAAAATGTGAAGTAAGTGTTGCCTTCTCTATCTCTCCTTCTGTTTTTCATCGTGTGTTGCAGAACACTTGCTTGTGTAAGTAGTATTTTGCATAAAATGCATTCATGTGTGCCTCTAGTATGATGATACTTGATTACCTCTTTTCTTGTGAGGGAGCATACCCAGTTAATTCACTAGCTATAGAAACGGTTTTGTTTTCACTTACAATAATGCTCCAGACAACACGTAAATTTCTGTAGTGTTCGTTGAGTTTTCTGAGATTATTTCTGATCGTGTCAGTACCATACCTGTCTGTGGAAAGCAATTTTTGCAACACGGTTCCTGCACTAAAACAGCATTTCATCTTCCAGAGATGTTTTAGATGGTTGCGCATAATTTTTCCCAGTACACACTTTTACAGTATCGCTCTGTTGTAAGAGACCGATTCAAGAATAGCTATTATCTAGGTGCAGGCTAGTCCCCGGGAAGATCAGCTGTGTGAATGTAGAGTCCGTATAAATACATTCAGGAAAAGTGCTCAGTGCTGCTCCATTTTCTCCTCCGTATGAAATGTTCTTAGATCTTTATATAAAAGCCCAATGCGTTTTTCTATATTTGTCCTTGTTTACTGCTCCACCCGGTTTGGTGTCCTCTGCAAATGTCATCTGGCTTCTTTGCCTTTGCCACTCCCATCCTCTTTCATATTGCTAATGGGAATGTTAAAATGGGACCTAAGAATGACCTGCTGGGTAATGTACGCTTACTGCCAATCCATTACCAGACTGTTTAATTTTGTTGTTGGGTCAGTCTTCAGAATGTGGTATGGGGTTAAATCCAGGCAGATTTGAATGCCTTATGGGTGACGTAGGCAACAGTACCTGAAATTCTCTGCTAAATTTAAAATCCTTTTTTGTATTCTGAAAGGCTGCTGTAATGCAATTTCTAACATTCATAACTCTTCAGTATAGCTTGCTTAATAGTTCTGTAGTCCAGAATTGGTGCTGCTGTAGATAATTTTTTTTTTTTAAATTGGTCCATTTGTGTTTCGACAGTAACAAATACTTATCTTGTACTCATCTGTTGATTTGTGGCAGCGTGGATGTTAATGAGTATGGCAGTCCATTAGCATTTATATTTTATCTGATACTTGGAATGAAGAATATATTTGGATCCAAATATCTGGACTTGCCTTTTCAGATTTAGTTGCTGGGGAGTTTATGCAGAATGTTTACTTTGCTGACAGCTTCTTCTTAGTGTTCTTTCTTTTGCCCTTTTCTGAGTCATAACTGACCCTCAGGATTCTTGTTTGGTTGTTTCCTACTTTTCCATTTTCTGTGCAGCACTTTTAACTTTTATGCAGCTGTAACAACCAGTTATAAAGAAGGCAAGCAACGATACTGTCTGCTAGTATCCCTTTGCCATAAGTTAGGAATTTGAATTCCTACTCCTTTTTTTGTGTCATAATTTTTTATGAAACTTCTGGAAAGTAACTTTAGTATCTTTTATGCCATGGTTAGCAAGCTAACTGAATTCAAGGCTCTTACAAAGTTATTGTTGATGTTAATACTTATTAGTACTATTAATACAAATAGCATTAAGGTACTTTTTTTTCCCTATTGAGTTTGTATTATTGGAG